TTCTTTTGGTATGCTAAATAATTACATAAATTTACAAAAGATGGCTTTACATTCTGTACCTACAATTGAAAATATATTTTTCATCAGCAGTAAAAGGTAATTTAAACAAGCAGCCTGTCGGCTGAGATAGCTCCGCTGTTAGCAATGCACATGACAATTAAAGAACAAAAGATATCATTAGAAAATGAACAAATCTGAGAGAGGTCCACATGTAGTACCTATATATGTAATATCAAAGCAATCGGACTTACAGTTTTCAACAAGAAGTCGAAAATATCACTTTTTACCAAAAATGACAAAAATATTCACCAAAATTAGAGAATTGAAGATATCATCACAAAATGAACAAATCTGAGAGAGGTCCACATGTAGTACCTATATATGTAATATCAAAGCAATCGGACTTGCGGTTTTAACAAGAAGTCAAAAATATCACTTTTTACCAAAAATGACAAAAATATTCACCAAAATTAGAGAATTGAAGATATCATCACGAAATAAACAAATCTGAGAGAGGTCCACATGTAGTACCTATATATGTAGTATCAAAGCAATTGGACTTGCGGTTTTTAACAAGAAGTCGAAAATATCACTTTTTACCAAAAATGACAAAAATATTCACCAAAATTAGAGAATTGAAGATATCAACATGAAATGAACAAACCTAAGAGAGGTCTACCCAAGGTACATATACACCAAGTATCAAAGCATTCAGGCTTGTAGTTTTCAAGAAGAAGTCGAAAAAGTAAAACATTGACACGGACGACGACAACGGACAATCACTCATATGATAAGCTCCGCTCGACAAAGTCGACAGCGGAGCTAACAAAGAATGTAGTCTGAATTTAAATTAGAATCATGTACATTTAATCCCAAGATGACATCTTTTGATGAAAAATTTACCGAAACATTACAATTATCGTCAAGGGTCAATTCAAGATCGTGACGCACTGAGGAAACATACATACAATTATAGAACAAATGAAGCAGTGTTTCAGGAAAATTGTTACAAAAAGTACATTTATCAGTATCAACTATATTATGTATTTTTAAAAACCTGTTTGTAGTGGTAATTCTATTAATCAGTCTGTATTGAAAATTTCTGAGTGACACATCATCAGTAATAATGAAAGGTAGTTTGAAATAATATTCAAAATTTAGGTTTGTGCCAAATAACCTCTTCCACTTTTCAACACAGGTTTGAGTTTTTAGGTTTAACCTATATACTCTCTCTACGATTTCTGAGTAAGCTCTTTTTAATATGGATAAGGGTAGATTCATTTTCA